CCATCCCGGCGTGTGAGTAGGGTCTTAGGCTATGCAAGTCGTCCCTGAACAAATTGTGGTGAAATGACCTCCCAGGAGGAAAGTAGCCTGTACCGCGGGACTTCGGAGATGATAAATTGGGTGGTCGGGGGACGTCTGGGTGTTAACTAAGCAGAGCGCCCGGCACAAGACTGGGGTACTTGTGTCAGGAGGTGTGAACTTGGATCTAGACTACGAGCCTATGTTGGAGGCGCTATTGAGCGTCAGTGAGACGGCAAAAGAACTGAAAGGAACCACAACCCCCGCCGGGCACTCGGATTGGGAAGGCCGAGTATTCCGTATACCTTCCTGAAAAAACACGAAAAACAAGTGGCCACGGTCCAGTTGCCGTAGAGATCATGAGGATGGTGAAGAAGCCGGGAGGATGGAAGCAGAAACTGTGGAAGGGAGACAAGTTGGAGCTGCTGCTGTTTGGGATTCCAAGGGACATGACGAGGATAGAGTTCAAGAACTGTTGTGACAGGGAGGGACTGCACTGCCTAGCAAGGGGACAAGTAGGCAGAGAACATGAACACTTCCGGGTGAAATTGACCAAGGGAGACAGCCAAGAGTGCTTGGGGGTTGATATCGAGAAGCTGTCGAACTACGTAAGGAAGTTTGGATGGAGGGTTTGCATCGCGAACATGATAGAAACAGAGAAGGTAAGGAGACAAGAGGCGAGGGCGACGGAGGCGAAGAAAGGACCGAGCAGGGCAGTCGAGCAAGCAAGTCAGAAGAAGTCCGAGAAGAAGCGGAAGGCGAACGATGGTGTGCGCAAAATCTCCAATAGGGAAAAGCGCAAGCTGAGAGTCGGGTCGTGGAACGTGTGCGGGTTCGCAAGGAGTGAGCGCAAGCGGTTGGAAATAGTGGACCAAGTAGAACAAAGCGATCTAGATGTAGTGGGGATCCAAGAGACGTGGGAATTGAAGGATGGTGACGTGGTAAGCAAACTAGGGAAATACCGGTGGGTAGGGAAGGCAAGAAAGGGCTTAGACCCGAAGAAAAGGGGGGAGGGGGGAGTCGGATTCCTGGTCAAGGAACACTTGTTTGACGTGGTGGAAGTAGTGGTGAAAACGGAGTTCGAGGAAAGCCTATGGCTTAAGATACCTGGGGAGCGGGGTGAGAAAGATTTGTTTCTAGGGAACGTATACGTCCCACCGTCGTCGAAGAAAGTCGCAAGCAAGGCGCAGGAGAACTTTGGACAAATTGGGGAAGATGTCCAGAGATTCAGTAGGAAGGGAGAAGTTGGCATGGTGGGCAATTTCAACTCCAGAGTAGGCAAAGCTTCCAGTAGAGGACAGGCGATCGGCCAGCACCGAGAAGGCAAGG